CACATTTTAGCAAAAGTCGAGTACACAAATTGACGAAAAAGCATGAATCCGTACAATAGCTTAATATTACCACTAACGCTTCTTATCGATATTTAAATATATTAGGTAAAATATGTCTTCGTGAGTGAATCCGGACTAGAATCATACTAAAATTCTAAACTACATAACATGTAGTATGGCTGGGAGAAACTAATATATATTTTTGCAATCAATAGGGCTCATCCAAACCAAATTTCTAGGAGCAATCTAAACCGAAGTACTCAAAAAATGACATAAAAATGAGAAAATATAAATGGAACAAAACAAGGGTAAAAGGACTATTTGATTATCAAGAAATGGCGGAAAGCCGGGTTCTTACAAGGAACATATCTCGTGTAGAATCGTAGCGAACAACTCGGCCGGAAACACCAAGGAGAGTGTAGGTCAAATCATGCACTAATTCACTTTCACTTACGGTAATCTGGCCAGTAGGATCTTCTAAATACAAGAAAAGAGTTATAGTGAAATTAAATTCAAGATCGACAAATAATAATATAGTAAAACGATTATAATCGTGGAATATGGAACAAAACATTGAGACTCGGTATGGCAAAATGCCTCTTAGTAGAAAGTTTATGACATAAAATGTAAAATTTAGTGGATTAAAGAGATACATGAGCAATGATGAACCTAGAACAAAATTTTAATAAGTTTTGAAAATTATAAAAAAATACATGTCACTATTTTAAACCATATGATTGTAGGTAGCGGCCCAATGAAAATGGAAATACGTATCTCATTGCGTGAAATAGTGATCAAAACATAAGAAATAAGAAATAAAAACGTTCTGATTATAAAAATAAATTATGCATCACGTTAGAGCCAAGAGTAGAGAAGTATGAAAAACATTAACAAATATTTAACTTAATACCAGAAAGATTGGCAATCCACATTTGAATAATATTCTAAATATGAACTATCAAGTCTTTTTAACACAAATAACCCAAAGGTGAAAATTTTATACCAAAAACCCTCTAATGCTACAAGACACATTAGTCAAAGCACTA